CCGAGGAAGGACATGTTCCCCCGACCGCCCTCCTGGAGCTCTGTCCCCAGCAGGGACCTTCCCCTCTGACCCCTGACTGCTGGACTCGGGTCCCCATCACCACACCCATCCGGTGACAAATCCGTCCTTCCTGTTCCCTGTGCTTTAGAACAGAGCAAGGGTCCCGGCCCGGCCCGGTCAGCACCTGTGAGTGGGTGCTGTTCACCACCCGGAGGTGGGCCCACTTCCCCCGGGTCTGAACAGAGCACGCAGACCCCACCCTCCTTACCGGCCCTCTTTCTCCTCCACATCACAACAGCCACCGCAGCTACAATGACCAGGACGCCGAGGAGGGCGGCAATGACCACGACGACTTCAACTCCTCGGGAGATGGTGGGAGGAAGAGGCCGCTCTGGAAGGGACGGGAGAGGAATGGGCTCCATGGCCGGGTCTCAGCCCCGAGCCCCGGGACCCACAGGACGTCTGCAGCTTTCCCTGACAGCGGGCCCTGTGCTCCTGTCCCCCTTACCCCACATCAGGGTGCGGGGCTCAGGCAGCCCCTCATGCTGCACACGGCACGTGTAATGCTGCTCCTCTCCCGAAGGCACCGCCACAGCCGCCCACTTCTGGAAGGTTCCGTCCCCTGCAGGCCTGGTCTCCACCAGCTCCATGTCCTGGGTCAGGTCCTGCCCACCCCGCTGCCAGGTCAGGGAGATCTCGGCGGGGTAGAAGCCCAGGGCCCAGCACCTCAGGGTCACCTCTTCCTTGGAGACGGGGTGGTGGCTCACGTGAGTCTCTGGGGGCTCTGAGGGGAAGACAGGGAAAATCCAGACCCTCTGTGCTCTTCCTGGGCCACTCCGGCAGCGCTCACGTCACCGTCCTGAGAGCGCACAGGACAAGCGGAGCTGGGGAGATGGCAAAACCCAGACAGCAGCAGCGACACAGGCTTCCGGGTAATCTGTTCCTTGGAACGTTGTAAGTCAGGATGAGTCGGCCCGGGGCAGGGAAAGGGACCTCTAGTCCTGAGCGGGTGGAGACCCAGGGCTCAGAATAACTGCAGTCAGATCCCAAGGCTCTGGGTGTGGGTAGAGAACAAGCCTGAGAGGGCAGCGCTCAGTCTGCTGCCACGGAGGAAGGGGAGGGCTGGAGGGCGCCCCAGGGAGCTGCCCTCCTCCATCCGGGACAGCCTGGCTCTCCCGAGGGAAGGGCGGCTCTGGAGAGCGATCTGCTCCTGGCTGTGCGATCCCAGGAGCGCCGCTCCCCTCTGACGGAGAGGGCAGCAGCACTGGGAGAAGGTGCGGGCAGCAGCAGGAGGGTCTTCACCGCCCGGTACCTGCGCGCTGCAGCGTCTCCTTCCCGTTCTCCAGGTGTCTGCGGAGCCACTCCACGCAGGTGCCCTCCAGGTAGGCCCTGAGGCGCTCTGCATATTCGGCCTCCACCCACTTGCGCTGCGTGATCAGAGCTGCGGTGTCCGCCGCCACCCAGGAGCTCAGGTCCTCAGCGAGGGAGATGTAATCCGCGCCGTCGTAGCCCCACTGCGAGTACCCGCGGAGGAGGCGCCCGTCCGAGCCCACTTAGCAGCCGTACATGGTCTGGAAGGTGTGAGAGTCTGACCCCGCCCCCTGGTCAGCCACGCCCCGGTCACCCCGCCCCCTGGTCAGCCACGCCCCCCGGATTTTCACCAGAACCGAAAATGAAACCCGGTCCCATCCCGGCTCCTCCCCGACCGCTGTCTCCGCGTGAACCTCGGACCCCGTCGGTGCGGCCGGGCAGGGGTGGTGAGCTCTGACCCTGCCGGGGTCACTCACCGTCCTCGGTCTGGTTGTAGTAGCCGCGCAGGGTCCGCAGGTTCACTCGGTAATTCTGCGCGGTGTTCTTGGCGATCTGTGTGTTCCGATCCCAATACGCCTGATCCACCTTCTCCATCCACGCCGCCCGCGGCTCCACCCTCGGATCCAGGGCGTCGCTGTCGAAGCGCACGAACTGCGTGTCATCCACGTAGCCGACTATCATGAAGCGGGGCTCCCCGCGGCCGGGCCGGGACACCGCGATGTCGAAGTAGCGCAGGGAGTGGGAGCCTGCGGGGCGGGCGGTGAGTCCGCGACCTCCTCCCGCGCCCCCTCCTCCTTCCCGCCTCCCTCCGCACTCACCCGCCCAGGTCTCGGGCAGCACCAGGGTCCCCGACAGCAGCAGGAGCAAGGTTCGGGGCGCCATCACCCCCATTCTCGGAGTTCGTGACTCTTAATGCGGCTCCGTGGGGGAATTTATACCAGAACGTCAACGACGCTGATTGGCTGCTCTAGGAGACAGCAACCAATGGGAGTGGGAAGTGGAGTCGCGTCACGAGTGTCCAGGCAGAAGCACCCGACACGGCTTGGCCGAGGCAGAAGTGAAACCCAGGCAGAGGGGAATCCCGGGATGAGCGTCCTCACCCGACCGCCCTGGGCCCGCGGACTCTGCCCTGACCCTCTCCTCCCGCACCGGCTGCTCACTAGGTCTCCCGAGTCCCGCGCAGAGGCTGTGAGAGGAGAGCGCGGCCCCGCCCTGTCCCGTACCTGCCCGGACCTCCCAGAGCGACCCCCATTCCCTCCCAGCCCCGACGCCCCTTTAGCCGCCTCTCCCGGGTAACAGAGCGGAGGGAGCTCGGCCTGGGCCGCGGTGCTCACGGTCCTCCTCGCACCCGCACAGGCAGCGCCTTCTTCACCGCCTAGAATCCTGGAGAACGGACGTGATCGTGATGGCTTAATTCCAGCACGTGTGAGGCTGAGGCAGGAGGATCGCTGAGTTTGAGGCCGTCCTGGAACACCGGGGAGTTGAAGGCCAGGCTCAAGTAGAACTACAGGGTGAGATGTGCAGTGAGTCTGGACCCAGATATGTCACCACGTAGTGAGATAAAATCCATGTGGGCCTAAGATCTAAATGTTAAAACAGAAGCCCTTCACCTACTGGAAGAGAAAATAGGTAAAATTCTTTCAGACATACACGCCGAGAAGGATTATTATAAAAGAACCTCTAGTGCACAAGAGATAAAGAGAATCAACAAATGGGATCACATCCAGTTAAAATGCTTCTAGCTGGGCATGGTCACACATGCCAGGAGGCTGAGGCAGGAGGATCTCTGTGAGTTCAAGAGCAGCCTGGGCTACATAGTGAGTTCCAGGTCAGTGTCAACTACATAGTGAGACCCTGTCTAAAAAAAAAAAGAAATAAAAACAAAACAAACACACAAACAAAAGCGATTCTACACAGCAAAATAAGCAACAGAGAAGTGACAGCCGGTGGGATGGGAAAGTGTTTGCAGCCCTTCCAGGGACAGAGGGCTGACATCGAGTGTAAAGAACCCCAACCAATTGGACCCCAAAGCAATCCATCCCGAGTGATGGAGAGACGCTTCTCAGAAGGACAAGTGGAAAATAAATCCGTGAAAAATGTCCAACATCTGTGCAATAGAGAAACGGGAGTGGAAACCACACAGACGCCGGACTCCTCCAGAAAGAACGACTAAGGCAGCGGTAAGGAATGGGGAGAATTCAGAATCTAATCTCCCAAACCAGAGACACAGGGAGCAAGGAAAAGTTCCTACTCAGCTCTCCCAGGTGTTGCTGCCAAGGGGTGGAGGTGGAGCCTCAGAGAGGCCCAGGGCTCCCGACCTCGCCTCCCAGGGAGGGTGAGTGGAGACTGATTAAGTAAATGTGATTACGTGGACATGAACAGTGCCACACAGTTATGGTGATTTTCTTTAGTGTCATGGTAAGATCCCATTTTTTTATTGTTTTTTATTGGGTTTTTTTGTTTTTGTTGTTTTTTGGTTGTTTGAGACAGGGTCTCACTATGTAGTTGAGACTGACCTGGAACTCACTATGTAGCCCAGGCTGGTCTCAAACTCACACTGATCCTCCTGCCTCAGTCTCCCAAGTGCTTGGATTACCGGCATGCACTACCACACCCGGCAGATAATAAGATCCTTTTTATCTTATTTTAAAAAGATTTTGGAGCAGGGATTTAGCTCAGTGGTGCCACTGCCTGCCTCACAAGTGCAAGGATCTGACTTCAATCCCTGGTACCAAAAAAAAAAAAAAAAAAGAAAGAAAGAAACGATGTGTACTGAAATATTTCAAAAGATGGCCTCAATATTAACATTGATTTTCAAATATTACAACAAAAATTGTAAAATGTAATTCTTGGCATACATAAAGTACTGAATAAACTAAGTCTACAATAGGCAGCCTACGATTCTCTCAAAGGGAGGGATCCTGGGGCTCTCAGCACAGGCAGGAAGCAGAGAGAGGCTGGCAGATCAGGTCCTGTGATCCCCGTGCCCTGAGTGAGAGGGAAGATGCAGGACTGGGGAGAGGGCGCAGGGGAGGGCAGCAGGGCTGTGCAGGGCCTGGGAGGGTGAGCAGGGGACCCCGGGGACAGAGCCCAGTGGGGAAGACACAGAAGTCAGGAATGCTGGGCACAGGCAGGGTGTGGGCTGGGCTGGCCCCTGGGCCCCACTTCTGAGGGGTCCACAGCACCTGCCAGTGCTGCCCTCTTGGGGCCCAAGCCTTCACCTGTGGATCTGTGGGTGACACTGGTGCCAAGGGCAGACTGTTGTCCCTCCGTGAGGACAGCTCTGCACTCACTTACTCATCCGCAAATATGTTGAAATCTACAAGGAGGAGCACGTCAGGGCCATGGAAATACAGCTGCCACAAGGAAAATCTCTGGTCTTGTCCTTCATAATTTACCTTCCAGAGGAGAGAGACTGTTAACAAAGAAATAAGTATTTACTCTGACACAAGTAAAAAGTGAAGTGTTCTTAAAATGTCTTTGAACTCTTACTAATGTTTATGAAGAACTACCTTCAAACAAAAGGATTTTGAGTTACACCATGAAAATTCCTTGGGTTTACTGGTATTCTCATCAGGTTTGATTACTCAGAAAACTGAGTCTCAAAAACTGGGATTTGTACAAGCTTCCACTGGTTTGTTCAGTCCTTTCAATGGACCCTGAAATTCTGGTTAAATCTGGCTCACAACTGATTAAATGGATGTATTAACAATTGTACTTGATATAAGAATCTTATAAATTTGATAAAACTTGATGGTAGCAAACAATGCTGTCAGATTGTAATCCTGAAGTGCTGAAAGCAGTAGAAAATACCTAGATTGGGTCCCGGACTCCAAGGATGCCCAGAAGCCTTCAGTCCACATCACACACCGTCCTCCAGGCTGCCCAGGAAGGACCAGAGAGCAGTGCGGCAGCGCCACCGTGTGGCCGAAGGACTGAAGCACAGACGCCCAGACCCTGACTCCCACCACCAGGACAGGGCCGGGCACACAATGGCTTGACAGGGGGACAAGCCAGGTGCGAGGTGCAAAATGTCTCCTAAAATCGGCACAGGTATACATGTTTCCTGAGTACTAAATGGTCGCAGCCACAGCAGCTGGTGTTCAGGTTCATGGTGAACTCACACACGGAGAATCCTGGACGGGAACTTGGACCCAAGACCCTGTCACCTGTCCCAGCTGCTCCCTCTTGGACTGGTGCCATCACCTATGAATCAGGCCAGAGAGTCCTCTGGGGTCTAGGAAGGTCCCCCTGGGAACTGAGGTAAATAGGAGAGACCAGGCATGGTGGCACACACCTGTAATCCAGCACTCAGGAAACTGAGGCAGGAGGGCAGCCTGGGCTACACAGTGAGGTCAAAGCCAGCGTGAACTACACAGGAGGGAGACACCAGTGGGACTGAGGACAGGAAGAAAATAGGGACATGGTGGGTAATGGTCCCAAGAGGGGGCGTGAATGGAGCCAGGGTGGAGGTCACCTAGGATGGGGACCTCTGAGAATTGTTTGGGGGTCTGGATCTTAGGCCCTAGGGAGCAAAAGGAAGGCACCTGTGCTGCTCCTGCAGGGACCAACCCTGCTCTCACGTTCCCAGGGTCTGGAGCCCCACAACCCAGGACAGGCTCTCACACCTGTGGGAGTCAACCTTGCACGGCCACCGTCACAGGTGTCTACTGTCACTCCCTCCACTGTGACAGATAAAGCCTGGGGGCCAGGCTGAGGGACCTGAGAAAGGAACACTGGACCCGCAGTGGGGGCTGGGCACCATCTTGGCGACAAGGCCCTCAGGGAAGGAGCCAGGCCAACTCCCCCTTCCCCAAGTTCCAAGACACCCACATACACACCAACTCTCTTTCCTTCAGGGGAACAAAATACACTGAACCCCTCGGGCACCTTGCTCTGACTGCAAAACAATGAACTCAGGACCAGTGTGGCCTCAGAACAAATTTCATTTCTGCCAAAACGGTAGACACAAGACTTCAAGGGTCCGAAAGCCAGAAACTCCCACGCTGAAGCTGAGCCTTCGCTGTACACTGGGCAGCAGCCACCCACGACCCGGACCCAGACCCAGGACACGTCAGGGGTTCTCCGCACTTTCCCTGAGAACCTCATGTTCACCTCGGCTCTTGAACCAGGAAACCGTAGCTGTCCATTAGCCAGGTCATGGCAGACCGTGAATGGAATTGAAAAGTTAACTTCTCTGCACGCAGTGAACACAGGAAGCTTGAGATTCCAGCCCATTTGAAGAGTGTCAGGAACATCTTCCTGCTCCAGGCGGACAGAGTAAAGTCAGGGAGGGATCAACAGGGGGGCGGGCAGCTGGGGCTGAAGCAGGAGGCAGCGTCCTCAGCCTCCCTCTGACCACGCCCCTCACCCCTGCTCTGAATCCTCCTCTCTCTGACCCCTCCTTCCTCTCACAGTGCCAGCCCTGGGTGCAGCCCTCCCCGCTCCTGTCCCCTTCAGGAGGTGACCGAGCCCTCTGCCCTGAGGAGCCACTCACTCAGGGGAGGTCTGAGCCCAGGCTGGGGCTGAGAAGGGAAGCGGAGGGGCCGGCGTGGGGAGGGAGGGGACGCAGCGGGCCAGATGGGAGGGCTGGGAGGCAGACAGGAG